CAAATACAAACGTTAAAAATATATTCTAAGGGCAGTGTTACATATGTAGCTATACATTTAGACTCGAGTGCTGATTCCATCATCGCCACCAGTCGTATTTTTTAAATTCTGAATAACTTTTAACACTTTATTATAATTAGTAAGGTATACGAATATGGTCGTATCATTATGTTTGACTAGATTTACGCCAGAGCTAACATTAGTATCAATTTTCCTAGCGAGGTTAACCCCAACTCTACTGAGAAAAGTAATAAACTACTCTGCTATTAATTGAATATTTATTACAATTTCATCGTCTGCAACTATGTAATCAAGATCATGTGAAGTGCTCGATTCCTACGGAGCTTACAATTGATTAAATTCCAGAATTGTTTACTGTTGGTAAACTTATTGACCATAATAATTTCAAATCTAATCTCTGCAAGTTTGATCAGGTTACTTAATACATTGCAGTTTCTGATGTATTTTTTTTTAAAGGTCACGTTATTTCTATTAAAATTCCATGCATTATATAAGATTTCTTTGTTTTTACATGAAACAGTTAAGCCCTTTATAATCCAAACTTTATAGCGTTTAAAATTGCGAACACAGTCTATCGCCCTAACGGTTGCATTATTAATCGAAGATTTTACATTGTCTACTAACAGACACTAGTGACTTCGTCTGCGTAATGTGTATAATCACGTTAGAAAAACTTAAATTTATTAAATCGATTCCGTTTTTTATAGTTTAGAACAAATTTTATTGTTATAAACAAAAAGAGTGGGTTTCTATTCATATTTCACAGTTCGTAACTTCATTTTTGTAAAAAAAAATACGTGTTGGAAGAACTCAATTATGTTACATAGAACCCGTTTTCAATTTTTTATAACAAATTCAATTGTTGTAAATAATTCACATGATCAAAAAGAACCTTATAACCTTTCTGACAAACAGACACCAGAAATTTATATAGTATAGATAATGTTATTGAAGATGTTATCGGGATCCTCATATTTCAGCAGGTCAGTCCAGTTGATTCCACAGCTGAGTTTGTGTAAAAGCTTTTAGTTCAGGCCAAACTTATCAGGCTGTTCAAGAAACTGCTTATTAGGGCAAATTGCCAGCAATATTGGATGATGATCAGTAAAAACATTAGAATAAAAACAAGAACTGATGATACCAAGGTCGGATTTTACAAAAAAATTGTCAATATACGAACCGTCAGTAATACTTGGTCTAGTGATACTATTAATATACGCTATATATCTATAGTCTAGTAAACATGATAATAAATTATTTACTCCAGAGTCTGGTTGCATTAAGTCTATGTTGAAGTACCATCAATAACATGGTTCTCATACTTTTTATTAGCTCTCACCAAGTCCGCCAAAGTCGTGACAAAAATAGCCTTACAGATATCAAGGCATTGATAAACACCACTAATTTTTAATTCTCTACTGTCACAAAGCTTAACTACAACAGAAAAATATCAGTGCTCTGCAGTGGTCTGGGTGCGACCCGAAAGGTCCACATGAACAACTTCCCAGTGGAAATTTAGAATTTATCATAAGATTAAATTTCGGTTCCTTTACAACTATTTAATTGTGATAGGAAAAAAATCGTTGTTAATCATGATACATAGTTAGTATCGTCACGTACTCTTTTTTTAGTTTTATTGCTTTTCGCCACGTGCGTTTTCCAAAAGCAATAAAATATCTAAAAGATGATTTCCTCAACCACTCTTCGAAAACTTTTCTATTTTAACGAAATCTTAAGAAATATCAACGGAAAAATAACTTAAGTAATAATCGTTAACCTCAATCCTTAAGTTTTATTGCTTTTCATTTTTAGCTTGTCTAAAATATATTTTAAATAATTATGTGAAATAATTGAAATACATTCAGACATTACACTATCATAGCGTCTTTAATGCTATTTTCTCAATCCTAACACGAATTCAAAATTCTTTTATTGCTGATTTTGTTTTTTAACAATCGTTAACTAAGCAAACATTGTGTTATAAGGAATTAAGATTCGATTAAAAAGAACTGGTCAAGATTTTTGATTAACTAAATGGTATTTTATGATTTTGTATTAAGCAACATCTATTATCATGGTTAAGTACTGTTTATATACCGTAAATCCAAGTGCGCTATCCGTGTAGACACTTTTAACATGCTCAGCTTCTTCAATGTTAAATATCGTAAACTATCAATAGATTTTTGACACATGACAAACTGCTTCCAGCGACTATATCCGCGCAGTATCCATGAAAACATTGCATAGTAATAAATTGATCAAAAAAAGTATTATATAGTCCAGTCAATATAGGAGGCTTGGCTCCATTTGTCTTGAAAATTTTTGTACAAAGGGCAATTTTTAATTTTCTAATGTCAAAATATCCGTAATGACCTGTAGAAAAAATGTGCCCAAAAACGAAAGTGCGCTGATTTTTTTTTATATGATTTTTTCGCATTTTAGTGGTCCCGTGTATCTAAGCGAGACAGCACTATAGGCGGCACCACGCGCTAGAGAAGGACATAACTATCGGAATGAAAAAATCGTATTTTCGATAAAAAAATGGAGTTTTCTTGTTCAATATTATTTTATTAATTATTTGATGAACAAAAAAACCTACAAAATCATCAATTTCTTAAAGTTGGTAATTTTTTCATTTATTTATAAAAATTTGTTTTTTTATTTATGTATAAAAAATTTCTTCATTATAGTAAATAATATATTTATTTATTATATTAATTTGATATTTTTTTTTATTTTTTGGGTCGAATATTTGCCTAAAATAAGTAAATAAATAATGAATGAATATAATAAATAAATATATTATTTACTATAATGAAGAAATTTTTTATACATAAATAAAAAAACAAATTTTTATAAATAAATGAAAAAATTACCAACTTTAAGAAATTGATGATTTTGTAGGTTTTTTTGTTCATCAAATAATTAATAAAATAATATTGAACAAGAAAACTCCATTTTTTTTATCGAAAATACGATTTTTTCATTCCGATAGTTATGTCCTTCTCTAGCGCGTGGTGCCGCCTATAGTGCTGTCTCGCTTAGATACACGGGACCACTAAAATGCGAAAAAATCATATAAAAAAAAATCAGCGCACTTTCGTTTTTGGGCACATTTTTTCTACAGGTCATTACGGATATTTTGACATTAGAAAATTAAAAATTGCCCTTTGTACAAAAATTTTCAAGACAAATGGAGCCAAGCCTCCTATATTGACTGGACTATATATGGTATTTTCGTAGTTTAAACGAGCCAACTACAAATACGTATCATTTTGTAATGGTATTAAAAGAATACTAATGAACTCATAGGCATTAATAATAAACGGAAAAAAATTTGAAATTTATCATGAGATTAAATTTTCGTTCCTTTACAACAATTTAATTGTTATAGAAACAAAACTGTCGTTAATCATAATACATAGTCAAGGTGGGAGCTACATATGACGAATACAGGCACGCCTAACTGGAAGATCCAGGTTCGAGTCCTGATCTTGACAGAATATAATTTTCTGTCCCGAGCTAATTGTAGAGTTGTCTATATGTGTTTAATTGGATAAAGTGGAGGTGCACACCTAGAAAGGAACGTCTTCCAAAAGAAAATTCCCGTTGGACAAACTTAAATGCTTTTCATAAAACCCGTTTCCAATTGTTTATGACAGATTTAATTGTTATATCGTATAGAAATAAATGAAATCCTATTGAAAAATACTTCAACTTTTAATCGGACCTACTTTGGGTGCACCTAAAAACTGGTCATTTTTACTCACGATCTCATAGGTAATTCTTAGACAACCAAGTGGGATTCAGGAAATTTTGATAGGAAAAAAAAGCATTTAATAGGAGTCAATAGGAAATTTCTAATGCAATTTTTCTATTGAACTATCTTCTTCTAATAGGGTTATTTAACCTTTAGGCTGCGGAGCTGGTCGATATATGGACCAGCAGTCAGGTCAGCGACTCTATCTGAGATATCCAGTGATATTATCTATACATTTTACATTTTGAGAGGTCAATTTGTACTGAAATTTCCCCGCAGAAAGGTAAAGCAAGGATTTTAAGTGCTATAGTTTCATGAAAATAGTTTTTTGTGAACGATGGTTATCGCCCTCGTCATTTATACTTGGTGCGTATTTTTTTTTAATCTATAGGGCTTTTTTGAGATTCTACGACTTTTTATACGATGAATAAAACGAATTTCAATAAATAAGTTTAATCTAATTATTTAATAAACAATTAATTGATAACATTTATTAAAAAATGATTTATTTATCAAGCTATAGGTACCCAGTATAGCTCCCCTCTCCATAGATACACCCCCCTAATTTAATAAAGTTTGCTTTATCTTTTATTATTGTTATGAAGATATGAGCAATTTTTTTAACAAAAAAAAAAAATGATCTATATTAATGGGGCTTTTAAAGATTTCTCAATAAATTTTATGATATAAACTTTACACCATTGTTGCCGAGTAACTAGAAATTTTAGAAAGCATAACCTCAAAGATGCTGATTTTAATGGAATAGAGGCACGATAGTGCCTTCGTTACTTTCATTTATACTTGGCGCTCGAGACACTACTGAAATAAACGTGTCTCGTGATACTGGTAGATATGTTTTTTACGCCACATACTTAGGAGAATACGGGGCAAGACGATTTTTGGTAACTTAGTGAGGAAAAACGGATCCCCCGAAGCTGTTAATACGATAGTTAACATTAATTCGAAAATATGCTTATCATTCAAATTACATTGTTATATATTTAAGTCATTTTAAAATTCAAAAAGCCGTTTTGCTCCATGGATCCGTCCTGCCCCGTATTCCCCTACATGTATTTTTGCTCAAAATAAGGAATTGACAACATATTAATATTACAAAGGGATTAAAGAGTTTTGAGCTAAACTACATGATTTCCAAAAATCTAATTACTATAAATAAATAGTATTCGTATAGTTAGGAATTTTTTTCAGAAAAAAAAAATTTGGTGGAAAAAACTCGAATTTATTGCAAAGATCCTGGTTTCAATTACTTTCAACAAATTCAATTGTCATAAACAAAAAGTAGCCTATGTTACTCCTGACATCCTTTTCATGTCGAATAATTTTCTGAGGTTAGTTTAAGCCAGTTTTCTCAAAATTACAGACAGGCACTCTAATTTTATCTGTATAGATTAATACAATATGATCATTAATCCGTATTTATCAATAAGCATTCATCACTCGTACATTTCTTACGACAATTTTCCATCGAACAATTAGTGTCTAATATTAGAATATTTGAAAATAGTAAATTTAAAAGCATAGCAAAATTGATCACAAAATGATCTTTCCGCTATTTGCCAACATGTATTAGATACAAAATTTTCTCAATATAACATTTAAAGAAAAAATAAATATACAGTATAGTTTTTGTGCCCAATAATATTCTTTTGTACATAACATCATTTTACTCAACCTCTTTTTTTATTTTCGGGGCAAAAGACGATGTATAACTGGTGTATACAATTTTCTATCTTCGTATTTGTATCTATTAGGTCCAGTAAGCCATGAAACGAAGAGCCCAATAAAAATTGCAGTCAAAAATCCAACCCATGTATACCACAAATAAGACATTTGATAGATGAAGAAAGGTTGCTCACTGGAAAAAAAATGAATGATGTTATTCTAAGTTAAAATAACTCACTACTTATCATTGGATCCAATAAACATTATAATATAATAAAGAGAACTTATAATATTATATCATATTATATCATATTACTTTGTAGTATTCTTAATTAGAGAAGTGAAATCAGTAGCAGTTCGTTGTAGAGATTCAGAACACCCTTCAATAGATACGGGCTTGACAGGAAAGCTGATAATTCCGTTAGAAACAGCAGCTTGTGTACCAAAAGAGATCCAAGCGACTAGATGTAAGCTGACCATAGCCCCAACCAATGCTCCCTATTTTGGATTTAACTAATTTAACTATAAATTCGTTTTTTTTGAAGCTAAGGAACAATTTTTTTTAGGTTTGTTTGTAACTTAATGTAAGTAGTAAAACGATAATTAATAAGATTTACATTATTTGCAAACAATAGTTTTATGATATTGCTAAAAATGTAGATATAGTTTTCTCACCGTCGCATTTGCATGGGGGAAAAACATTCCTAACGTAAAAATACCGAGAAGAGGACCAGCTGTTATGCCTGACAGACTTTTGGCTGCCTAAAAATTATCTAATAACAGTTACTGTCAAATTGATTATTATTACAAACTGATAACAGTAGAATAATTATTAATTAATTTTCTCATTCTTTTACATTTTACATAAAATTTTTGGATGAATGCACACTACGAATTCAAGTATTTAAAAGCTGAACACTTGAAGTGTTTACAATATTAAATCTTATAAACGAATTACAATAATGAATTTTAAATGGTTCGCGGCATTTTCTATAATGTTATAAACTGTTTATGGTATTCAACATTGTAAACACTTAGAAGTTTAATTATAAAATGCTTTCAGCATTTTATCACTAGATACTTGAAATGTTCCCGGATTTAGTGCATGGATCACAAATAATTGATCAATTAGTTATTGTTCAAAAACACACGCTTTTCTATTATTGTTGTTATTTTTTTCCCTAAAATTTTTTCAATAAAATGACTCAAATAATATTAGTTTGCAATTAGTTTGTAGCTCTCATTTACTCACAACATGTCTACAATGACACTATGCCAGAGTAGCAGTATTGAGTGTAATTAAGATAATAAAGAAGCTTTGAGAGCAAGTAGAGTGCATATGCATGAACTCTTTTATTCATGACGGATTTATCAAAATATTCTGAAAATTTTATGAAAAATTCCAGAAAAACATTTCACATACATCAAAAGTAAAAAAGAATATTATACTTAAAAAATCCTGTAATCCATGTGCTGTTGTAATTCATGTCTTTATAATCATCACTATTAAAATAATTTTCTAAAGAAAATTGATTACCTGAATTAGGCCTGTCAGCTTTTCTACTACAAACACTAAAGCCACACATATAACGCCAATTAAAACAACCGTAAACTTTATGATTCGACTCGCAGTCACAGGTGATAATGGCCTCTTTAATAAAGGTTTAATCATATCCTCGTAGATAACACCGGACATTGAGTTTAAGCTCGTAGACATAGTGCTAAAAATTATCGTCATAAATAATTTTCATTAAAAAGAATTTATAGACACAATTTTGAAACTTTTTTAGAAAAGTGTAATGTTATGCAGATTTTAGTGCATTTAATATACATATCATACGAATATAAAGGCAAATTGTTCAGTGAATAAATATTAATAATATGCTGTATTTTTGATAAAAATCAAATTAAATCTTTCTCAAAATTCATAGAATATAAGTACTTATGTGCAATGCATAACATTTTATGTTATAGTTTTTTCATCTAAATTGTTATTTAAAAACGAAGAATCACATTTTCCTACCTTAAAGCTGCACTAAAAACTCCAGAAACAAACAGACCCGGTAATCCTGGTATTGATTGTGTCATTTCCATAACAAAAAAAGGAAGTAATTGGTCAGACTTACGAATTTGCTACAAACAAATAAACATTATAATCAATCACAATCGTATTTATCTTATTAACTATTTAGTCATTTATTTCTTATAAATATGAGATTCGATGCATTATTTGCTCACACAACGAACTTTTCACTCCTATTGATCGTTCATTATATGTTGTTTTAATTACAATTTGATAAAAATTTTATTGATTGATATTTTATATATTTATTAAAATTTTAAATTTCGTTGTATTATTGTTTTTTGTATTAAAAATTGTCTATGACAAATTAAAACTGTTATAAGCTATATTCAATTATCATAGGTCATACGAAGTCATTGACAACAATATTATCATCAAGATTTATCAAATTTTTTAACAATTCTGATCACATGATAAGTGAAGTGAATTTTTAATTGATCTTTGCTTTATTTAATTTACATTTTTTTTGTGATAAAAAGGAAAAGCTGACAAAGATATAGCAAAATTACAAATTTCAAAACTAAACCCCATTACGATAACTTTTTAATGGGAAGTTGGTAAATATTTTATTTTATCTGAGTGATTTCTTATTTCTTATTTGTTTAGTTATCAAAGTATACAATATTGATTATTTTATTTAATCAACCATCAGAATAATAATGAATATGTACTTACTCTTGTTGATAAAGGATCACATTTATAAAATGTCGCATAAATAACTAGACCAGTGAAGCAGCTTAATGAAACGATACAGATTATTCCAATAGTCATTATCATACTGGTACTAAAAAAAGAATCATCTTTGAGATAATTTTTTAGAGTGAAAATGTTTTGTTCGTAAGTTTATTTTAAACTTAAAGTAACAAAAGAAAGTTTTGTTGGAAAGAAAATAAAACTAACATGTTCGACTTTTTTAAGTTTGGCATTGCAAGACAACGCTGTACCATCGCTTGGTTTACAGAACAGGTGGCGAGCCAATGTAAGTAGCTACCGAAAACAACACTCCAAAAAGTATGTCGTATTGCTGGGTTTGGATCCATACTAGTTTAGAAAGAAGAAGAAACTGTGATTACACAAAATTTAATAATGCTTCATTAAGCTTTATTTTCGTTTCTCGATAATTACTTAAAGAACTCAATTCTTCCACTGTCGAGATTTCTTTGCCAAACTTCTCCAACTCCACCAACTTCCCTTGTTCCAAGGACTAGAACGATAATTATTCCACCAAACATTACGACAGTTTGAATAGTGTCTGTCCAAACGACTGCCTTCAATCCACCCTTTGAAATTAACATTTTTATGTTATTTGATTTGTACTGCTTAACTTTTTTTTTCTTCTTAGAATGTATCAAACTTTGTATAATGAATATCCTTTCTATTATTTTATTTATAAAGACAGAACAGAGGTGAAATAGAAAAAAACATTTTTACACTTCTGAATAGAAATAAATTTTAACTTATACGACTTTCACCGAGAAAATCGCGATTCGAAAAGAAAAATTAAATTTCCATTTTTTGGGGTATTTCTGCAAAAATGAGAGGTAAACTCAAATTTTTTTTTTAATTTCTGTAGCCCATTCAAAAGAGCAACATGCAAATAACAAAGAATGTGGCTTTTTCAAATTGTATTAAATTTTTTCAACCATGTTTTACAAGGTTGAAAGCCAAGGTAAAATTAGACTATAAAAGGTTAATAAATAAACTTTCAAATTTTTTCATTCATCTTCTGAGTTTTTAATTAGCTACTATTGTGGTAATTTTATACTTTCGCGGTCCCCTCGTTTTTTGGCTCTAGAAAATCGAAAAATCATCCGATTATAATGATTTTTTTTTTAATCTTTGTTTTTATGGCGGATTTATTAAAAAAAATATAGGAAATATCTCACCTAGAAATTTCACATAGTTTCATGACTTCCAATGTAATCATAAATGCACTTCTTTAGATATAAAATTCACATTTGGTCTGCTTCCCCCCCCCTGCCATCACAATTCTCTTTAACAGTAAACGTCAGTAGGATACCATTTTTTCTAATGGTGATAATTTTTAACTTTTTGAAGTTTACTTATAATATTTTATACTTGATTAGTAATTTCTAGAATGTTTTTATTCACATTATTCCGATAATAACTTAATAAAAACGGCACAAACGATGATATGTAAGAAACGGTCAATTTTAAGAAAAGTTGTTATTATTTTAAATTGTAAAAATATGAAAAATCAACATTTTTATATACATTTTTTTTTTTAATTTGTTTGTTTTTTTTTTGGGTCGACTATGAAAAAAAATATAACAACTTCATACGATAACTTGTGAAAAAGTTATCAACAATTATACGTAAATGAGTACATTTACATAAACATTTAAAGCTCTGCAACCAATACAAATCTCCTTTTTTTTTCATTTTCATAATTGTTTCCGTAAATCCGCCGTAAAAACAAAAAGTTTAGAAAAAAAATCACTCCAATATGTTGATGTATTTTTAAGCTGTAAAAAAGCATGTTAAGTTATATAGTTGCCTACAAGATCATAGTTTATGAAGCCTTTTGTTGAGTAAAAATAAAATGTTTTTCGACTTTCATGCTTACCAAGGTTGTATAGAAGATACAAACGGCGCAGACAAGTGGTGTCACAATGTGTAAATCTATTCCAGTCACTTGATTGAACGCTAGCGCCGGAACATACACTACTAGAGGTATGTAAAGTAGCTGCAATTGCAAAGGCCAATTAAGCGAACGGAAAATCAAGAGGAAGAAGGCTTGTTATATTGTTGTCTTGCACACATGGCGCTTCAACGTGATCAATTGGATGATGCTCGGCAATGATCTTGAAGCTGAGGCGATATTTTGAATGTTGATCTCATTTTTGTGGAGAAAGAGGCCAAATTTTTTATGAAGATAAATGTGTAGTTAGAAAGTCATTATTCCAGGATACGCTAATAAATAATTTACCCCTTAAAGCCTCACCATTTTTATGATGAATATTACTGAACCCAGAAGTTTGACATACTGATTGAATCTTAGCTCCAGGTACTGAAAGGAAACATTCCCAAAACTCTTTATTACTGGTATTCATAATCTTTATAATAAAAAAAAATAACCAAAAAAATCCATAAATGTATTTGATTTTGAATTCTCCACAGTCTCGTTATTCACTTTTTTCCTAAAGCTTATCCTTACAATAGAAGTTTCATGAGAAAAATATCATTTATCTATTTTGTAATTTCAATTACATTTACCTTCTTAAATAAGCATAAGTGAACGCTATTTCTTTAATTTTCCACAACACTAAGTCTTATCATGTTTACGTAATTTAATGTTATATGCGGAGATAATTTTTGCACTAACCATAAGTAAAAAATGACGAGTCCACGTTTCGAAGTTTAGAAGTAAAAATATTTCTGTTCAACAGTGAATTTTGGGTCATTGTAAGTAATTATTTTATTCATATACCTTTTATGTATCAAATTTACTTACAAAAACTTAAAATTTACTATCAAATAGTAATATTTAAACTTCTAAACTTTGAAACGTGGACTTCTCACTGTTTGCACTTACATTTAGTGAAAACATTTTCTCCATGTAATCTTTTCAAGTTTCATGGTATGAATAATTTTTCACAGAAAATGATTTGTAAAAATTGAACTTTTTTCATTCGCAATAAAATGAGTGACTTTTACCTTATATGATGAAGTAATTTGAAGACGATAGAAGACTGGTAAATAGACGAGTGCCATTGTGAGGGGAACGCACGCGTCAGCAATCACAATAGACCAATATTGAGTACCATAAACGTACATCTCAGCTGGAAGCCCCAATATTGAAATGCCAGATATGTAACTGTGATAATAATTTATTAGATATACAATGTTATTTATTTTATTGAAAATATGGCCAAATACTTACCTAGATATAAGTGACATACTTATAGGAAAAATTGACATTGTTTGTCCACCGACAAGATACTCCTTTACTGCATCAGGGCATTTTCGAGCTTTGTAAGCATGATAAATACCAACAATTGCTGAAACTCCTAACATTATTAAAAAAACTGTACAATCGATCCAATCGAAAGTTCGTTTATCAATTTGTTCATTCATTTTTCAATGAAATGAATTTTTGACTGATTTAGTTGCTTTAATTATGAAGAATAGTTTTATTACTATATATTTAAGCCTTAATACTAACAGAGTATTACTGACATAATGGGCTACACAAAACTGACATGAACCAGGCCGTAGACTCCAATGTACCAACCAAGGAGACGATTGAATAATTGCAGAGCATAATGATTTCTCTCTTTATTCGTCCCTCTTCTCTTTTTTCTACTGTGTATGAACAACGTTAATAGCCGTTTCGCATAAAATAATATCGTCTGCAAAGCATTCAGAGTTTTGTAGAATAATTTTGTTTTAGAAAATGATAATGGAAAAGTTTTAAAGATGAATTAAGATAACCTAATTTGATATATAGATAAGACCACAATAGTTTATTAGTTACTAATAATGTTATTTATCTAATTAATGAATAAACAATGGTACGCACCCAGGCAGAAATATATATATAGCACAAACTCGGGTTGGCCAGCGACTAGCCAGGGAAACTAGCTAGCCGCGACCTAGCAAAGTGACGCTTGTTCTAGCCGAACGCAAGATTGAATAAATAAAAAAACGTTTTGTTTATAATTATGACTATTAATTGATGTTAACATTATGAACAAAAAGGACTTTTGAAGTAAAACTTCATTACGCACGCTAGACTTGAGGCGAAAACTGGTAAATGCGTGATGAGAGCGTTACGAAAAGTGTGATCGGGAAAGGCGAACGAAAGTTGAGAGGGAGATATAAGTTAGAGGGATCTATCCAAGATATTCGAGTTTTTCCAATGCGAAATTTTCCCTTTTAATAAGAAAATGTTACTAACCATATCACATAGATATTAACGAAGTTTTTTCGTTTAAAGCAATTAAATTTACTATAAATAATTAAAAACGAGATCTATGCAAGGTATTCAAGTTCATTTGACGGAAATCTTTGCTATCGAAGTGATGTCACTGACTATGTTACACAAATAATAAAGACTTTGAGAACACACAATTTAATCGTTATAAATAAGCAGAAATTACAGCTCATGATATAATTCAATTTTTTTTGTGTTCGTTAATAATACATACAAATTCCTGACTTTTTTTTAATCATACCCGAACAAGAATGTACAAAGGGCCCATGTCTGGCTCATTACTGGGTGCCTTTCTTGCAATAATGGGCAGATAACGTAAACCATTACTGGGCCATTCAATTATAATCTCTGGATGATAACTTCGGGCAATCATTGGCAGCCAATAATATTAAAAAATTACTGGCCCAGTGATGGCAGTTAGGAAAAAAATTAATTACCCATTAATTTATTATAATTTAACTCACTAAATCATAATAATTTTAGCAATAATAATAATTTCAATGACAATAGTATAATATAAGTTCTTATTCTCATTGAAATCTAATTTGCAGCCATGAGAAATCCTTGAATAATCTACTAATTTAACTATAATTATTAATTATTATTATCATTCTTACTCGCATATGAACATTACATTTACAATACTATAAATTGTAATTACAAGAAAATTGTTTTTTATTCGATGGAATAGATTAATCAAATATTTAGTTATTATTTAATATAAATTTTTAATTCTAATTTTAAATGAATCTTTCATTCAAAAGAAAAAAATTATTAGATGTTTTTGAAAATGAAAAGTGATAAAAAATTATAAGAATAAGTTTATTCACACCATTCGTGAATAAAAAATGAAATTTCTAGTCCATAAATAGTTATGAAGTAGGTCTCGCTGAGTATCTTTCTTTCTGACCTCCACCACGATCCTTTGCACCAGAGAACCATTTGCCCACCTGATCCGCTAAATTTTTTGACGTTTTGGAGCACTTAGGATGCTCCATAGTGACATCTGAAAAAATAATTATCATCAATTTGTTATAAATTACAGTCTATAGATTCTTATTAAACAATTTTTTGTTATAAAATAAAGAATAGCTTATACGTACGGAAGAAGTATTTCATAATGATTAGAAAGCAAGCTTCGATGTTTGAATACTAATTTTCTAAGCATTTAAATGTATGAGTGCTACTAAAATCGTTTTTTTCAACACTGTTTATTTTTCGTCCTGTACCAGAAACTCGAGTTCGATATCCTTGGTGATTGTTTGAGCCACTATTTTACTAATTGCTAGACTTACTTTGTCCTCTCCAATTATAGTTGTTTGATATAGAGAAATCTAAGAGATAAGCAATTATATTTTTTAATTTTATATTATTAGTGAAAGTCATTGAGTATTTAATACATCTATACAATATTTTGAAGATTTTTTCATCATTTAAGATTGTTGGTGCTTAAATTAATGAAAATATATTTACCAAGGCATTTTTATTTTCCTCATTTTCCGAAAGTTGTGATTCGAAATCAAAAGAATCTTTCAGCATCCTGAGTGGAGGCATCTTATTTAATCCTTGCTCTCTTGTATCTTTAAAATTTACTATTTCACTACGTCTATCATTCACTGTTATTACAGAATGTTTTAATTTATCAGTTTTGTGTGCGATGTCATATAATATGCTTCTTTTGACTGATTCTAGTGTTTTAGTCAGTGATGCTGTCATTTTCCTAAATTTTTAGTTGATATAATTTTTGAAAAATCTGAATAATCTAATATCACAAACAGAGAAAAAAAATAGATTTATAAATTATTTTATTATTTAGTTTTTTAGATATATTTCTTTGTGTTTTCGTGAATATTTATAATTTGTTTACTATAAATTTACTTAAATTGAATATTATTATTTACTAGTAAGTTTCTCGTATTTTTCACTATTTTAAACCAAAAATTGAATAAAAAAAACAAAACTTACCAGTTAATTCTGAGGATAATGCCTCTGTAAAAGATGTGTTTGTAGCACCAGGTACTTTTTCTAGTACAAAGAAACTGACTGATTCCGATGATAAGGTATCTTAAACTTTTTCTTTATTGGATTGGATGCTTTTTCTGGTACATCAATCAAAGAGAAAAAATTAAAAAAAAAAACGGAACATTATTAAAATGAATTGAATGTGATGATGAAAGGTATTATAACTAATTTTTTATTAGAAAATGAGAGTATTATTTTTTTAAATAAAGAAAAAAACACCAATAAAGAATCAAATTTTCGTTATTAATTATTAGCAAAGAGTAAACATTCACTTCGTGACATTGTGGGCATATTCATCAATTCTTGGCGCACTAATTTGTCTGGTAAATTTGTAGGTTTATCATTCGATGTTATTTTTTCGTTGTCTGTAGATTCAAAGTCTTGTTTTATGTGCGATCTTTCTAATTATCGCAACCAGATAAATGTGAATTTTTACGCGGTGAAGTAAATTATCTGGATCATATCATTAGTAATAAAGGGTTGAAGCCTGATTAGAAGCGAAATTAGATGCAGTAAAAAATTTCCTGTACCGGAAACGCAAAAAAATATTAGAGCTTTTCTTGGTTTAACTGGATATTGAAGCAGATTGTTTAAGAATTTTTTACAAATTCCAAACCATTGACGCGTTTATTAGAAAAGAATAGAGATTTTGAATGGTCTCAAGAAGCACGAGGAAAAAAATATATCTTAACAATTCAGGATCAGTTATTAAAGTATAGTGTCGCGATTCCCCTTGAAAATATGACCGCGATTCCGGTTGCGGATGCATTTATTAAAAGATTTATTTGTGTGTTTCGAGCACTCAATGATTTATTGACTGATCAAGGTCGTAATTTTATTAGTGCTTTTATGCAAAGAATAATGAAAAGATTTAAAATAAAAAAGTTGCAGACAACCGCGTTTAGGCCACAATCAAATGGTTTTTTTGAGAGATCCCACCATGTATTCAGAGAATAGTTAAAACAATTCGCACGTAAAGATGATAGATGAGACGAGAGGTTAGAATTAGCCGTGTTCTCATATAATACGAGTGTTCATGAAGGTACAAAAGCTACACCTTATGAACTTGTTTTTTGAAAAGTAGCGCGCGTTCCGACAAATGAACCTTTGCATAACTGAGATCATCTGCCAACGTATGAAAATTATATAACAGATTTAGTGGGAAGATTAACGAACATACGTAAATTAGCTTATAAAAATCTAGTAGATTCGAAAGAAACGTCAAAGAAATGTTATGACAGAAAGATGAAACCTATCGAGTTACATATAGGGGATAATGTTTTCTTCGAAAAAGATCCAAAGCCAAATAAATTAGGTGATCATTATGATTGACCATTTAAAGTTTCAGAGATATATCCAAATAGAAATGTCAAAATACTAATCAAGAATAAACCGAAAATAGTTCATTCTGATAGACTGAAAAAGTCTAAAATAACGATGTACGAAGCTGAAGAACAATTGAATAAGTCGAAAAAACGAATAACTAAGAAGAAGGATCCAGATTATCCAAATTAATTTTTGTTGTTTATTTTTTTTTTTTTTTAGTAACAATGTAGGGATTTTAAATTTTGTTATTGTCGATTGTAGGTGGAGCAGTTCAAGCCATTATTGAGTATGATTGCAGTTACGAGTCGTTGAATATGATAACGATATCTCTATTAGACATTGAGGAATGCAATGTCGAAGACGAACATGTTCAAATAGCAAATGTAAACCCTTTCTTACTGCAAATGAATGAATATGATCATGTTGAGATACATGAAATTCTGTAGTAGTAGTAGGCACTGTTCGTATTAGTTTACGATCAGCAATAGCCTGAGTAAAAACGAATTCTAATCAAATTTATTTGTCGACCGATTTTTCAAATGCAATTTAAATTCGGGAACATGTGTAGATCCCAAAAGAGGACATACTTTCTGGGATTAATTACCGCATAGATATTGTTCTATGACTACATATTCAACATTACATAGAGGATTAGCTCAAGAATTAGAAACTAAAATGGAAACGATTCACACAGTTCAGTCGAAAGATACTACATTTTCACTATCTGTAATTGGAGCTGAGGACTCATGTGGTCTCAAATTATGAATTATGCTTTGAGGTAGAATTAAAGACTAACAACATAATAAACTCAGTGGGCTACCTTTTATGGTTTTAGCAGGATAGCCCAGAAAATTCTAGTAGGTTAGCCACTGTTGGAAATTTCTGGATCAGATGTACTGACCACTCAGTAAAGAGAGCGGGAGTCTTTGGAAACGGAAAAACTCACCAGTAACGTTCAAATTGTTTTTATAATTTTTCAATAATTTTAATTCAAGAAATTTTTTTATTGTTTTTATATAATTCACACATTTCCACTTTTTCCATCGAAGATCCCCTCATCCCTGTCTATTGGTCGAAAGGCTAGGACTAAAAAGAGGAACTTAAAGTCTCTAATGTTAAGCATATGGTTTACATATTGACATCTCTAAAGAGCAAAAATACATAACAAAGTTATTGTCGTACAAATGAAAATTATTTCGAAATTGAATTAATATCCTTTTACATAAACAATATTATTTTCTCAGAAATTAAGAAAAAAAAGCATGCTATTAGATGCTACAAACAACGTAGATGGTTGTAATAATGATT